CTACCGGTTTTGTGTAGGATACGCGTTTAGCTAGGGCTCTCGGGCTGCAGTTCGGGCACAGGGTTGGGTGCTTTCGGTGTCTTGCATAGGATACTGCACTAGTACACAACATTCCGGTCCATACGGTAGTAGACTTGGCTCTTGCAAACCCTAAACCCTAAACCCTAAACCCTAAACCCTAGACCCTTGCACGTGCTGCCACATGTGGGGGACTTCGAGGAGGTTGAAGTTCACACCTGGGGACATCCTTCCCTTCGACTTCGAGCTGGAGCCAGAGGAGACGCCCTAAACCCTAAACCCTAAACCCCAAACCCTAAACCCTAAACACTGCGAGCTGGAGAGCCTCAGGAGATGCAAGAATGCATGACCCATCCGAGCGTTCCGCTCATGAGTGGCTCGGCAGCCCAGTGGTACCCATTTTTCCCGTTGTTTGTTTTTTGTTTGGGGGGTTCAAGGTTCCCTCATCAACCCTAAACCCAAAACTCTAGACTCTAAACCCTAAACCCTAAACCGGCTGCAAAGAATACAATCCGGTTACTTTGCCTGCCAAGGTGGGACAGGCGGAGATTGCTTCTCCATCTGCTTCTTCACCACTTGGCTTTGCGAACCTAGGTAGGCCCTCTGGTACATTTTCTAAATTCCTTTAGTGGGTGTACACCCTAAACCCGAAACCCGAAACCCTACACCCTAAACCCTAAACCCTAAACCCCAAACCCTAAACCCTAAACCCTAAACCCTTTCAGAGGATTAGGGGCCATCCTAGGAAGGCATTTTTGACATTACCGACAACATCTGCGATGCCTTTGCTGACATCGGCAGCGCAGGAATCTCTCGAGCCTGCTAGGGTTTGGGGTTTGGGGTTTGGGGTTTGGGGTTTGGGGTTTGGCGTTTGGGGTTTGGGGTTTCGGGTGTAGGGTGTACTGGGGTTTAGGGTGCGGACGGGTTGGATTGGCGCAGGGGGCTAGCGCCGGGAGGCCAGGCACAGCTTGGTTTGGTGCAGGGGAGACAGCTCCCGGCCAAGGCCAGGTCAGGGCGGACAGAGTGGGTTGGCGGGCGGGTTTAGGGACATAATCCCCATACTCAGTCCCATGAAGGGTCCCCTGTTGAAGGGGGTTTTAGGGCATTGTTGTTCACAGGAATCGGTGCCGCCATCACAGCGGGGATCGCCGCTGCTATCCCGGGAGTGCTATGGGACTTGCCCATGGCAGCGACACTGGGGCTGCTGGCGAAGGACTGGCTGTTGGGTCTTGAGGGTTTAGGGTTCAGGCTTGAGGGTGTTTCACATGTTTCCCTTATTTGGGTTCATGAGGGGCCCCACATATAAACTTTGTTCAACAGGTAAACCCTAAACCCTAAACCCTAAACCCTAACCCCTAAACCCTAAACCCTAAACCTCTAAGCCCTAAACCCTAAACCCTAAAACCCTAAACCTCTCTAAACCTCTCTAAACCTCTCTAAACCTCTCTAAACCTCTCTAAACCTCTCTAAACCTCTCTAAACCTCTCTAAACCTCTCTAAACCTCTCTCAACCTCTCTAAACCTCTCGAAACCTCTCGAAACCTCTCGAAACCTCTCGAAACCTCTCGAAACCTCTCGAAACCTCTCGAAACCTCTCGAAACCTCTCGAAACCTCTCGAAACCTCTCGAAACCTCTCGAAACCTCTCGAAACCTCTAAACCTCTAAACCTCTAAACCTCTAAACCTCTAAACCTCTAAACCCCAAACCCTACACCCTAAACCTCTAATCCCAGGAGTTGATCGAGCCTCTCTTCGATCGCGTCGTGGAGCGGGTGTGCCAGCCTTCGGACGCGCTGGGCGATCAAGTCGCTTTGACGGATGCCCATATCCCCCTTGGGAATTTTTTTATTTTATATAAAACCCAAGAGGATATTTAAAATTAATAATTTTATAATTATTATTATTATTAAGGTTCTAAGGGGAGTATAGATGCTAGGTAGGGCCTTGGGATGTTGTATATTTTTTCCTTGTGATGTTTACGAGGGTTTAGGGCTAGGGTTTCGGGTTTAGGTTCCAGGGTTGAGGGTTTTAGGGCTTAGGGTCTAGGGTTTAGGAGGATCATATGTAGGAATTTTGCAGAGGGCAGAGGGGTTTAGGGTTTAGGGTTTCGGGTTTAGGGCTTAGGGTTTAGGGTTTGAAGGCCATCCTAGGATGAGTGCATGGATTCCATGAAGTATTTCGGATCCTCCTTCGACAACATCGTGGAACTGGCCGGCACCGACCTCAATGGCATGCTGACCGGAAACATCCAAGACTGTTGCAGTACAGTTACTTTAGTAGCTGAATGAGTACACTTTACACTTTTTTGGGATACTCTATAATCCCCTATAGGAACTGAAAGTGCGCACTTTTTGGGATATTAGAATCCCCTTCTGAACTGAAAGTGTACACTTTTCTTTTTTTTTTGGGGGGGGGTTATGAAGTCAGCAACGAAGGTTATGCGCCGGCGTCGGCGCCTCGGTTACTGCAGCAATGTGGAGAGCCGGCGTCGCTGCATGGTGGACATGAATCCCACTGACTACGATGAGTGCTACTTCCTTAGCCAGGAGTTGAATGTTAAACTTTTCGGGCTTCCTTATAAGTAGGAGTAATCTAGTTTAGCTTGTTTTCCTTTGGTTTACTGGAGAAGTAAGGCTACAATCCGGAGGACGAGCTTCTGGAGAACTACGAGGAGGGCCTCACCATCGCCGTCGAGAGTGCTAGCGACCTGCCGGACGACTCTGACTGGCCGTTTGGTGAGATCGACCCCTATGTCACTTGCGAGGATGAGGATGGCGCTAGCTACTTCGAGCTTGGGCTTGATTTGGAAAGTAAGTGTGTTTCTCAATGTACCCCCCCTCCCCCCCTAAACCCTAAACCCTAAACCCTACACCCTAGACCCTAGACCCTAGACCCTAGACCCTAGACCCTAGACCCTAGACCCTAGACCCTAAACCCTAAACCCTAAACGCAATCAATCCCTCTGAAGCCCTAAACGCTAAGCCCCTAAACCCTCACGTCATGTAGCTCTAAACCCTAAGAACCTCAAGGGGAAGTGTAGTTTTCCCCAAACAGCCCAACGACTGTACCCTAAACCCTAAACCCTAAACCCCAAACCCTAAACCCTGAACCCCAAGGAGACAGAAGCTTTGGATGGGGCCGGGAGCAATCCCACCTGGCATCCGGGAGCAGTGTCGGGTTTAGGGTTTAGGGTTTAGGGTTTAGGGTTTAGGGTTTAGGGTTTAGGGTTTAGGGTTTAGGGTTTAGGGTTTAGGGTTTAGGGTTTAGGGCTCGGGTTACGCTGTGCAAAAAAACCAACATGTTCAGGGTTGTTCTTATGCAGACAGCAGTTTAGGGTTTTAGGGTTTTAGGGTTTAGGGCTTTGGGTTTAGGGCTCAGGGTTCAAGGGCTTTGAAATACACCCTAAACCCTTTCTTGGGGTACAGATTTTAGGGTAAAAATGCCCTAAACCCTGTTAATTCCTAGGGTTTCGACCTACACCCGCGACAGGGGCTAGCAGATCCCGTTTTGCTCTAGAGCCGAAACCCTAAGCCCCCTAAATCGCGTCTACAGTCTAGAGCTGGTTGTGTTACAGGGTTTAGGGTTTAGGGTTTGGGGTTTAGGGTTTAGGGTTTACGGTTTAGGGTTTAGGGTTTAGGGTCGGGTTTGCAACCCAATTATAAGTACTTATAACCGACTTATGAACCCCTTAAGCACCCTAATGTGGTGATACTTGGGTTTTTAGTACCGATATAGTTTGGTGAGTAAGCACCATGAACCTCCGAGTAGTGGCTGCAGGCACTCTGGAAACACTGGCTGGTTGGAAGATTGGGAGAAGGGGGAGGATGTCCTGTGCGAGATCTGGGACGAGGACCCGGCCCCTTAGTTTCTTTTAAGGGGTATGCCCAGTCGGTATGTTGAACATTTCCTAGAAATTCAAACCCGCGAGTGGCAAACGCCAGAGAATGCCTTAGAGCCCTTGCTGAGAATGTGGGCATATTTCGAAACTAGCGTACCCCAAAATACCGCCCTAAACCCTAAACCCTAGACCCCAAACCCTAACCCTAAACCCTTGTGATGTTTCATGTGTTCCCTTATTGGGCTTAAGAGGATCCTATTCAGGAACATTTTTTGAATCGGGTTTTGAGGGCCATCGGTTTAGGGTTTAGGGTTTAGGGTTTAGGGTTTAGGGTTTAGGGTTTAGGGTTTAGGGTTTAGGGTTTAGGGATTGTTTCGGACAGTTCTCAACAGTTCTTCGATCGCCTTCCTTGGGCGACTCGCACGATGACCGCTGTGGTGATGCTGGCTACGCCCTTCGCTTCGACTGTTGCTAGTGCCCTGTTTTATTCTGTTACTCCTTGCTTCTACACCCGAAACCCTAAACCCTACACCCTAAACCCTAAACCCTAAACCCTAAACCCTAAACCCTAAACCCTAAACCCTAAACCCCAAGCCCTACGGGTTTGAGTCTCAACCGGGGGAGGACACCGGCCGCCCCGACGACGAGCTCGGCAGCTTCGTCATTCCAGCGTCGGCTCTCGAGCCTGAGCTCGGTGGTACCCTTTTGCCCCCTTTTTGCTTGGGGGGCCAAACCCTAAACCCTAAACCCTAAACCCTAAACCCTAAACCCTAAACCCCCAAAAAGGGCACCCTCATTGTAACAAGGCTGTCGGGCAGGCAAGTAGGCTGTAGAATGACGACGTGTAGTAGACCATGTCCTATACGGCGCGCTTTGTTTTGTGCAGTCCGTACTCATGAGACTCCGTTGGAGTCTGTCGCAGACTAGGTAGGCCCTTGGGACATGTCATAATTTTCCTTTCTTGGGTTCAAGAGGGCCACATGTAGGATTCTTTTTTTCAGAGTGTCTGAAGGGCCAGCCTAGCAGACCTAAGGATGGTCTAGAGGACCAGGCGCTGCAGATGACGGTTCCCGTGGACACCGGCTCCGGGTGGGGATGGAGATCAAAGAGCCTGCGTGGAGGGAACGCATCCCAGGCATCCAACATGTCCAAGGCCAGACTTGGAGCAAATTCAGCGGAGGCCACGGTCCGCGTCACCAAGGGCAACGGTGGAAGCGGAAACCCGAGGTGTCCGGGACAGGGCCGAGGGCACAGAGACATCACGTGCACCAAGGAGACGACGATGACCTTTCGTTGCACGAAGTGCATGATCTACTCCCCCTGTGTGGAGGCCAAGCCAAGGGTTGACAAAGTCAACACAGCCAGCTTCGGACAGGTGGAGGTCTGCGCCCCCAGGTACGATTACATCAGAAACCACAAAGCCAGCGATCTGGTCATCCCGCTCCAGGCGGGCCCGAAACTACCTATTTGCTTGAGAACGCCCCAGAAATTAAAGATGGCAATCCCTGCATTGCCTGCCCTTCTTGCGGCATAGTGTTTTTAAAACTTGGGTGGTTCTTAAGCAAATAGTACTCCTAAACCCTAAACCCTAAGCCCTAAGCTCTAAACTAAACACCCTACACCCCCAAATGTGTTTTTTTAATGTTTTGGGTGGTTCTTAAGGAAGTAGAAGTAAACGCCGAAACCCTCCAAGTGGGGGCCGGATCAAGGTTGCGGCTGAGGTTCTTCTCCTGAGCGAACCCTAAACCCTCAACCCTAAACCCTCAGCCCTAAACCCTAAACCCTCAACCCTAAACCCTCAGCCCTAAACCCTAAACCCTAAACCCTAAACCCTAAACCCTAAACCCTAAACCCTAAACCCTAAACCCTAAACCCTAAACCCTAAACCCTAAACCCTAAACCCTAAACCCTAAACCCTAAACCCTAACCCTAAACCCTAAACCCCCCAAGTTGAGGGTTTAAGGCTTATGGCTCAGGGTTTTGGGTAGAGGGAGCGACATCCAAAACTTATAGTCTACTGGCTCTTTGAGACCTCAGCCCCTTAAACCCTAAACCCGAAACCCGAAACCCCCCTAAACCCTAAACCCAAACCCTACACCCTAAACCCTAAACCCTAAAAATTGAGCGCCAGGTGGTGCGGGGTGTGGAGGACGTCCTCGCGCCCGCACAGGGAGGACGTGTCGACAGCGGCCTCGATGGCTTGTGGCAGTGGGCGGACCAAAAGTGTACGGAGCACTGGGCACCAACGACCTTTGCTCTTGATATCAAGTGAATCTTGTTTAGGGTTTAGAGTTCAGGGTTTGAACCTTACCAACCCCTAAAACACTGAAGCGCTGAACCCTAAGCTCGTCAACGGTTTCAAAGGGCCCTTTTTGGGGTGTTTTTCTGTTTGTTTGGAGGGGGGGGGGGCCTGGGGCCTGGGGGTTTGGGGGGGGGGGGGGGGGGGGGGGGCCTGGGCTGACTGTTCGATGCGCTGGGCAGAAATATTCTTTTGCGAACAGTGGAGCGCCGGCATGTAGAGGTATGAAGTGAAATACAATATGTTCCAACTTCACCTTGAGTTTAGGGTTAGAGTTTAAGGTTTAGGGAAACCCCTCTGAGTTTTGGCTTGTTCGGGTTACCCTATGTAACTATCCGGTTCCGATGCGTTATTTCCTCGGGGCTGTTTCGTGCAGTTACATCTTGAATCTGTTGGTTTTCCTCCGTAAGTCACCTGGATGTTTTGCGATAGTAACATCGGAAAACCGGGCCCCAAACCCCAAAACCCTAAACCCTAAACCCAAGGAAAGGCACGCCCAAGGAGGATTGCCTTTTGCTGATCAATCCACGCCCACACCGGTCGCAGTGACTCGTCCTTACTTTTGGTGCATCTCTCTATATCCTGGTTAGGGTTTAGAGTTAGGGTTTAGGGATGAGGCTGCGTAGTCCAAAATGCTAAACTTTCAGTCGTCAAGTTCTAGATGGTGCACTCGGAATATCAATGTAGGGAGTAGGGAAAAACAGCCGCACCTTGCACCCTTAACCCTAAGCCCTAAGCCCTAAACCCTAAACCCTAAACCCTAAGCCTCAACCCTCAGCCCAGACGCAGCCCAGGTGGGCGATGCACATTCATAACAAGCCTGTTGGCATCCACGGCGCCAGAGTTCCGAAGGGCGGTCAGGAGAAGACTTCGGTTTAGGGTTTAGGGTTTAGGGTTTAGGGTTTAGGGTTTAGGGTTTAGGGTTTAGGGATGAGAAGTTTAGGGTTTGGGGGTTTAGGGGACAGGGGGTTTAGGGTTTAGGGGTTTGGGGGTTTAGGGGTTAGGGTGTTTGGTGGTTCAGGGTTTAGGGGTTTCCCCGGTTTCCCCTAAAATGCTCTCGGAACGGCCTCCTGTAGCCCTAAACCCTAAACCCTGAATACAGGATAAAGTCGCCAAGCAGAACTTCGAGGCCATTAAGGCGCGCGCACGACCTTCATCACTTCTTCTCAAAGGCACCTTTTCAAAGGCACAGTGGTTTAGGGTTTAGGGTTAACCCCCAACGCTAAACCCTAAGCCCGAAACCCTAAACCCTAAACCCTAAACCCTAAACCCTAAACCCTAAACCCTAAACCCTAAACCCTAAACCCTAAACCCTAAACCCTAAACCCTAAACGCTAAACGCTAAACCCTAAACCCTAAACCCTAAACCCTAAACCCTAACCCTAAACCCTAGCCCTAAACCCGAAACCCAAAACCCCAAACCGAAACCTTCAAGGGTTCAGGGTTCAGGGTTTAGAGTTTGTTGTTCCAGTACGCCGAGCTTCAGGTTTGGAGGTTTCGGGTTCAGGCATTGGGTTTCAGGGAGACGGGGCTTCAGGGTTTAGGGTTGAGGGCTTTGCGTTTAGGGTTAGGGCGAAAACCTCTGCATTTTAGGGCTCTCTAGCGAAACTGCGGGGGAGCGATGCCTGACATTGAGTGTCTTCCGTATGACAGTTTAGCAGGTACAGGCTGCAGTATAGCACGTTGAAGTAGGTGAGGACGTTCTTCATGAAAAATTCAAAGAGGGTGTTAGCCTCCAGTACAGAATGAAAAAGTAGAACGTCCCTCCGACATCGTCGGATGCATCGAACATAAACGGGTCGGTTCTAATGAAGCAGAAGTATGCTATCATCGGCATAGCACCAGAAATCGATATGCATACCAAAGCACGAGACAACTTAAGTCCAAAAGTAGAGCGCATATGCTGACTCCTTGAGTACAGGTGCGAACCTCATGCTTCCGGTTGCAGGACCCAGGAGCCTAGACTGACCGACTCCTGCCTAACTCCCGGGAAGCCTAAACCCTGAACCCTTAGAGGGGTTAAGGGGTTCAGTGAGAGAATCCCTGAACCCTAAGCCTGAAGCCCTAAGCCCTGAGCCCTAAGCCCTATACCCTAAACCCTAAACACTAAACCCTACACCCTAAACCCTAAACCCTAACCCCTAAACCCCACCCCAAAAGGCCCGGCTCAAGACGAAGGGGGTCTGTTCTCGCACATCTTGGCCTGGCACACCAGACTTCCAGGCATTGGCTCCCGGCTCCAGGGTCAAAAGTTGTTCGGCGTGCGGTTCAAGGTTCAGGGTCACTTTAGGGTTTAGGGTTTCGGGTTTAGGGATTAGGGTTTAGGGTTTAGGGTTTAGTTCCAATGCTCAGGCAGTTCAGAATGCGATTATGTATTCGTATGTTACACTAAACCCTAAAGCCCAAGTTATCAGAGACATCATTCAGTTCTTAAGCATGTAGTGCCAGATCCTCCAATTGGCTTCCCTGAACAGCCCTCCTTGCTGTAGGGACCTAAATTCCTAAACCCTGTAGACCTAAACCCTCAACCCAAAAACCCCTAAACCAAAAAAGCCTATACCCTAAACCCTGTAAACTTAAACCCTAAACCCTGTAAATTTGACCCCTAGACCCCTTTAAACCTACATCCTCAACCCCAAACCCCTTAATTAACCCTAAATCCTAAGCCCCCCCCCCCCCCCCCCCAAAAAAAAAAAAAAAAAAACCTAAATCCTGGACCTAAACCCTAAACCCTAAACCCTAAACCCTAAACCCTAAACCCTAAGCCCTCAATCTTCAGGTCCTGACCGGCAGTAAGTGTTCATGCTGGGCAAAGACGATCAAGGCAGGGCCCAGGGCTCCGAGGGTGCTCTGAAAGCCCAATACCCTCAATTCAGGGTTTAGGGTTTCGGGTTTAGGGTTTAGGGTTTAGGGTTTAGGGTTTAGGGTTTAGGGTTTAGGGTTTAGGGTTTAGGGTTCTTAAACCCTAGACCCTAAACCCTAAACCCTGAATTGAGGGTGTAGCACTGGCTGAATGTCATAGTCTGCATGCGAACCCCATGACCGCCCCAGTACACAAAACCGCTGCCAGCCGAGCCCAAATCAGCCAAGCCGATTTAGGGTTTAGGGTTTAGGGCTTAGGGTTTAGGGTTTAGGGTTCAGCACTGGCTTGCAACGTTTATGCACCCTTGGAGCTTGACTATGAAGATGGAGACCTTGTGACGGATCGGGCGAAAGCTTAGGTTTTGCGGCGGGGGACGTCTTCGGACTGAGGGCCTCTCGTTGCGAAATTTTAGGTTTTGCGTTGGAGGACGCAGTCGGAGGGCCCAAATTTTGTTTCTCAAATGTCGCAAGAGTTTCGGTGGGCACCCAAATGTCCCAAATGACCCAGGTGTCCAAGTGTACCAAGCCTTTTGCGCAGCGGCGCGAGCGACCCACTTGCGCCGATGTGTCAAGGGTCCCAAGTCCCAAGTGTTCCCTTACTTCTCCAACAGCTGAACTTTAAACTTTTTGGGTTTCCTTATTTAGTAGGAATAAAAAAAGTTTAACCGTTTTTCCCCTTGGTTATTGGAGAAGTAAGTTCCCAAGTGTCCCAAAAATGTTCCAAGTGCTTCAAAAGCCTACCAAGTTCAAGTGGCCCAAGCGATCCAAGTGTCCCCTTCACATTTTCGGCCTGTCAACTTGGATGGGTCGGCTTGGCGTGGGCTGGCTGTGGCTCGCAGTTTCGGCGGCCTTGGGGTGAGCATGTTACGAGAGCGCGACCTGCCGCGCACGCCCTTCAACCTAACCTCTGCTCTAAAGCCCTTAAACCCTGAGACCTATACCCAGAACCCTCAGCCCTAAAACCCCAACCTTGAAATCGCATTTCAACCCGAAACGAAAACCCTAAACGCTGAAACCCTAGAACCAACCCACAGCCACACCACCCCGGGGGGGGGGGGGGGGGGAGGAGAGGGCAGCCATATTCATAAAACGATCTTAGAACAGGTATTGTGTACTTGGTCAAAAATTTTCAGCGTGCAGATCAAAAGGGATGCTTCTTTGTCGGCTGCATGAGTCTACCAGAGTAGACATATTGGACTGGTGAATTCCATGGACCGGCTAATTAGGTTGCTAGAGCCATCAAGAACACAATGATTGGAGAAGTAGTATGCTAGAGTTAATGACCCTAAACCCTAAACCCTGTCTCATTCTTTTGGGGGGGAGGGTTCGTTGTGTTTGGTTCTCGGTTTCCGGGCTCCAGGCAGACCTGTCTTCCGGCGTCTTCACGAGGGCCTTCGACGGACCTGCGAAGAATCTTGGTATGCTCTCAAAGGGCTTAGGTTAGGGTTTGGGGCTTGGGGTTTAGGGCTTAGGGGTTGGGATGTTCCCCCTTAGACAGACAGTCCTTCATAGGGATTCTAGTGCCCCCTATTCTCATCCCTGTAAAGGAGTGACCCTGAACCCTGAACCCTGAACCCTAAACCCTAAACCCTAAACCCTAACCCCCAAACCCTAAACCCTAACCCCTAAACCCTAGACCCTTTATTAGTATAAGGGGGAACATCCCAAGGCTTCGGGGGCATCTGCTGTTTAGGGCTGAGGGCTTAGGGTGTAGGATTAAGGGTTGAGGGTTTAGGGTTTTTGGGGAACCCGTACTGTTTTGTTGCGGGTGTGTTTTTGCTGTGGGCATTTCTTTCCGGGCCGCCTGACCTGGCGCTCGATGGCCCCGCACCCGCAGCCCAAAAAAAAAACGCGCCCCCGCACCCGCAGCAGAAAACAAACGCACCCCCGCGCCCGCAGCACAAACAAAAAACGCGCCCCTCCTGCGGCCGGTGAGTGAGTGACCTGGCGCGGGGCTGCGCTCCCCCAAACACCCCCGCCTTTTTAAGCCGGGCAAGCTTGATTCAAAGCATACGAATCCCTTCCAGACCCATGATGCTAGCATTCCCCCCCCAACCCCCCAACCCCCCTC